CTTTTTATATGAGCATGATTATCTTAACTTCAAATTACTGCAATGAAATAAACAATATGTATGTGAATTCAAAATAAAAATTAATGATTGTTAAATAAATGCAATTCAACCTCACAGTGAAAAAAATCCAAGATAAGTTTTTTTCAAAATGATTTTTTGGGATCAACATTGCCGGCATAGATTTTAACATGTTTTCCGTGTATGCTTAAGTTGTTGTGGCTTCTAATATTTTTCTCCAAAATTCTCCATAAGTTCTTTATAGGATTCAAATCTGGAGACAGAACGATCTGGGACTTGTGTGGTTTAAGTCTCCAGATGTGCGTTATCATTTAAACCTTCGAGATATTGCCTATAAAGCATATCTTCGTGACAAGAATCTGATAAACTGGAAAAATTATTGTACTTGGCGCAATCGAGCGAAAAAAGTTGTTAGGAGAATAAAACTAGATGCACATAAGGACATGTTTGCTGATAAAACCACGAAGGAAATATGGTCAATTTTAAATAAGAATGGTATAAATGATAAAGATAGTGAGGTAGATGATGTAGATGTTGAGAGGTTAAATTATAATTTTGTATCTAACCAGTCTGTTATCCAGTTTGATGTTTCCTGTGTTCCTGTTGGATATTATGATGGTTTTTCGTTTCGTGCAGTTGATTTGTTTGAACTTATGGATGCGTTTGGCAAAATTAGGTCCAGAGCTGTGGGTTACGATGGTTTCAAGCTAAAATTTTTGAAGTTACTGTTTCCCTTGATTGGGGGACATTTGTTGCACTTGTGAACTCAATTTTAATAACGTCTTCGTTCCCTGATGTGTGGAAAATTACTAAAGTGGTGCCTATACATAAAAGTAAAGATACTAGAGATTACCGACCTATATCCATAATGCCTATTTTATCTAAAATGGTTGAACATATCCTAAAGGATCAAATGCTTGGTTATATTAATGAGCGATCACTACTGCATGATAGCCAATATGGATTTAGACGTAATCGTAGTACGACATCCCTGCTTGTCGGCTTGACTGACAATGTAAGGAAAACTGTTGGTGCTGGTGGTTGTGGAGTGTTATTGTCACTGGACCTTGAGAAGGCTTTCGATAGAATCAGTCATTCCATATTGGTTGATAAGTTGTATCGATTCTTTAATTTTTCATCGTCAGCATGTAAGCTAATTTGTTCATATTTGTTTGGCAGAAAACAATATGTTGCTTGTAAAAATTGTTTTTCGAATATGTTGCCAGTAAGTAGTGGTGTGCCTCAGGGGTCTGTTCTTGGTCCCCTGTGGTTTGTAATGTATGTTAATGATATGTTCAGTAGTATTAATAGTAGAAGTTGTATGTCATTTGCGTTTGCAGATGATATACAAATATTATTTAAAGGAGAATATGTGTTCATGGATGTGTTGCTCGATTCCCAGTAGTTCGAGTAACTGGTTATGAACTGGTTATTTTACTAATTACCTGTAACTACCACTAGTTACCTCTTCATGCCCTAGACTGGTGAATTTAACATGGGTATGTCATTGGGGAAGTCAATTGTCCCCTGCCTGCGTTACCAGTATACAGTCATTTCGGTAGTAAAAAATGATTGTATATTTGACTAGTTACTTATGTATAGAAAATTAGATGTATAACAGTTTTAAAAATTACAATTTATTCTGTACAAAAATATGTGTTATAACAGAGTATTGTATACATATATATTGTTTGATTCATCTGAAAGTCCCTAGTACACGATTCTTTTATCGGCCGTGTGCTTTTCAAATATGTTTCCCTGGCTATTATCGCCGCTATCAATTTGATTGAAATTCAGATCCCTTAAAGGTTCTATTTTGTTTAATTATGCGACTCTTTGACTTTTAAGGCTATATTTTTCAGCGGCGGACGTTGATGTCTCAAGGCCGCACACACCATCAGAAATAGGTGGCTAAATAGATTTATCTGAAATAGACGATTTAGAAACAGTTGAAGTTAGAAGTCCTATATAAAGCTTTTTTGTTATAGAAAACTTACCTATAGAAAATCGGCAGTATACCCCTTGAGCATTTAGTGATGCGTTGAGAACCTCCATGGAGCGACACCTCTTCGTGTACCGCTATTAAATGTTCACAGAAGGCATGTCAATACTCCTTTAGGAATATATTTAATTTGAAGAATCTGTTAATCTGTGGGGACTTCTGAAATCTGGAAATGAAGCCTGTAGAAGGATTACATTGGTATATATTGTGTTACAAAAAACTTACCTCCGATTTATCATCTGTATTTTATTTGAATATTGAAATTATATTTTTGCGCAAAAACACATTTCTATTCGATTTTTGCTTTTAAAATTCCGAAAATTTCTAAAATGTCTAAACAAAATGACAAAACAATTGTTCTGTTTTGTATTCATACTCGATTCATTAACCTTTGCATTACCAGTAACTACTGAATTGGAATGATATACCTAGACAACTTTTTCAATCGACAAATAAATCCAACAGTCAATTTTGTGTCCCTTTTGGGGTATAAAGTAACTAGATCTCCAAGTAACTAGTTATATAACTATATATCAGCAGACAATTGATATTTTTTGAACAACTGGGTTGATTTCACTGTTAATGTGTTAGTTACGTGGTTGTCTACCAATAGGCTCTCAATAAATGTCGAGAAAACCAATGTTATGTATTTTGGCAACATGCGAGCGGATTCAATAAATGTTTCCACCTATAGTTCCCCTATAGATGTTGTAAGCTCCATGAAGTGTCTTGGATTGTTGCTTGATAGTGGTTTGGTGTTTGATGTGCATGTTACTTCGTTAGTGTCCAAGGTAAACTTTATTTTACGAAAGTTATACTGTTTGGTCGTTGCCCTGCCGAAAAATATTAGGATACAGGTAGTACATGCGCTGATTATGCCTCACTTTATGTATTGTGTTGAGATTTTTGGTGGCAGCTGTGGTTTTGTCTTGCGCAAACTTCGGCTTTTATTCCACAGAGTAATGCGTTATGTGTTTGTACTTATGTTGCGTGATCATGTTTCTCCTTATGTCAAAGAGTTTCTTGGTACTTCGTTTGATGATTTCCTTAAAATCAGATGTATGCTTTTTTTCTATAAGGTTTACAAAACCCAAACTCCTTCCTCAGTAGTTGAACTTTTTTCGTTCAGTAGGTCTGTGAGAAATACTCAAATCCAAGTGCCTCGTTTGAACCCATTGTTGGAGAAGTCTTTCCATGTAAGGGTAGCTCGGGTGTTCAATAGTTTGCCACAGGTTCTCAAAATATTCAGTGTTTCGTTAAAATGTTACAAGAAAAAGTTACTTCAATATGCAGATGTTCATGGATTTTAATGTATATATTTTGTTAAATATTTATAGATGATTTATCCTATGCTTAGTTTCATATATTTTTATTTTTCATATGTTTTAATTTGAAATTATGAATTGATTAATAATTAATCCTTAATTAATTTTAAACCTTTGGAGTAGTTCATGTATTGTTGGTTATGATATAATTAAGTGATATACTGTTAATTTTAAGCTTTTGGAGTAGTCCATGTAAAGAAGTTTTTGGAATCGCTCATGACCCTTTGGGCTAGGTTCTTGTTTATGAAATAAATTGAATTGAATATACAATTTTAATTTAATTACCATACGACATGCCGACTATTGGAACAATAGAAAATTAGGGCCGACAATTGGACAAAAAATCCCTATCTTACCTAATTGTAAATTTGTTCAATGTTAATACAAAATAATTCAAAATTCGTTTATGCCATCAGAAAGTAAACATATTTTGGAATCAAAAGAACGTTAATACAATATAATTGAAAAATGCACCCGTAAAAACGTAAAACCTTAAAGTGCCGACGATTGGTACACTTACCATATACCATTGTATCCGGGCCCAAGTACGACATGTGGTAAAAAATCGGACGGTGCCTTAAACTAGACTTGTTCCAAAAATCGCGCCGTTTTTACAAGTTTTTTTTAATGCACAGTAGCGTGCATTATAATAGCAGTTATTATATTGAACATACAATTTTAATGTTCTTGATTTACAAACAAAAGAATTTAAAAATTTTTTGTTCACTTATTTATTAGTTCTTTGTTCTCTTTACATTAAATTATAAACCACTTTGGTCTCGTCAGACCATAAAATGATACGCCACGTAAACATAGGCCAATCTAGGTGCACTTTTGTAAATTTTTATCTTTTGAAGGTATGTAGAGGTAATTTCCTGGGAGATCTAGCATACAAATTGTGATGCAGCAAGAGCCTCCTGATTGAACTCAAGGTTAAATTTTTGTTTCAATTTCGTAACAGATGATTTGGGTTCATCTCGGACTCTTCTTAAGATTCTTTTTTCATCAAATTGAGAGATTTTTCTATTTCCCCTACGCTTTTTTGGTTTGGGAGAGCATTAGAGATCAGCCAACCACATCTTGTATAAATTTGTAAGTTTTTCCTTCAGAAACCAATTTTTGAGTGAGTTCTCGTTTTTCTTTTGGTCAATGTTTTCCGCGGCCCATTTTTCCAAAACTTTTTAACAAAAAGCGCACGTATTTGGACTTTTTTAAAAATGATTATAAGCCAAAAATTTTCTGATCACAAAAATAAACTAAAAATTTTAATATTAATGCGATTTTACACGTTTCTTTACTCCACTGCTATTATTATGCAAGCGAACATAAGAGAAAAGCAAACAAAAAATATCGGAAAAAATTTTCAGATTATTTTCATTCTTTAAAAATCAATGGCATAAAATATGCAACATAATAGCGATTTAAAAAATGTATAAAAGAAATCAACTTTTAACATTATTTTAAGAAATATAGCGCATATATTAAAAAGCAGTACTGAACTGCTATTAATTTGCACGCTACTGTATATTCCCACTGCCTTCAAATTTGAAAAGAGGAAACATATTTCTGCAGATATATCAGTTATGTATTTTGTGTATTAGTTTTTGTTAAGCAAATTCATTTATTTTGATGTTTTTGTCCGGTCAAAAAATTCCTTAGGTACGCACGTTTCCTTGGGATAGTGGGATATTGCCGGGTGGTGCTATGAAATAGTCCTCGTCAGTTACTTTAGCGTTTTGTAATACACTTTGACGACAATTGCCTTCAGTTACTTGATCCGAACGCAAACGCAGAGGGTCTTCATATAAAACCCTATATAGTGGCTCGACGCATTCAGTGTTCATTTTGACAATATTTTCTGCAAAATTTATGCTTTTTTGCAACACTTCAACAGCTTCATGTCCCTCCAAATTTACTAACGAAAGCCTTTCTAGCAAATTTAATGTTCTTGAATCAACTGGTACGTTGTTCACCGCATGTATATCTGTTGGATAGCATTCTGGAATTTTGCTGGCATATTTTAATTTACTGAAATCTAGTCTTCTGTGTTGTTCCTTTTTTAAAGGGCCAGCAATATATTTACAATAATTACGAAATAATATTTTATTGCAGTTCATTCTGGACTATAAAATGTAGAGTTGTCCAGTTCACGAACGAACTAGTTCAAATGCACGATTCACTTAAAAGACCGAATGAACTAGGTCATGGGCTATAAATAAAGTCACCCAGGGAGACCAGCTAGTGGCTATCTGCGCCACTCAAGTTTGATGTCAAAATGCATAATTGTGAATTGACTTCCATTATGAAAACGTAGTCGAAATTTTTGACATTAGACTTGAGGAAAAACATCTGTTTTCCAATTTCGATTGCTACCTGGGTGACCTTATTAATAGATCTTGGTACAGAAAAACTGACAGCACATATAGTGGCCCGTAAACGGTCATGACATGACATGCATTTTGTGGTGTTAGTGAAAATTTGTATGTATGTGTCACACCTACGATGCATGAAGCAAAATTAAAAATTTTTGATTTTTCGCATGCATGACGTTCGATGTTGACGTGTGTGCTTTGGGGGCATCAAGCATATTCTCATTTGTGATGTTCTTTCAAAGGGAATGCCTGTATAGAGATGTCGGATACTGCGAAAAAATGTTATAGAGTTGTTGGAAGTATGCCAGTCGTTCTCAGACCTTTTTCAGCATTTACTCTATTTTGTAAGCACAAGGACAAAATCGAAAAAATTGTTTCGTCCGTTGTCGACATTGTCTGCACAGCACGAAATCAAATCTTAAACGAATGCATGAACCGTGTGCGCTGAAGCTTCATGCACACGTATACGATTTTGATGTCATGCATGCATGATCGTCTACGGCCCACTTATGACATTGAAGGCTCGTGTGCAAAGCATCAGCACAGCCGTTGGTACACTTAGCTGTCAAAAATGTTGTATTTTTAAACAAAAAATAAAAAAACAGAATTATAAATGAAAATCTCTCCAAGAGCTTGTTCGACCACACATGTATTAACATTTTTTGAATGAATTTGTGAATCTGTTTGTCTTAAGGGTTACCCCATGGAATAATTTTTTGCTAAATTAATGATGGCAACCCCAACAATCCTCTACTTGATTTCATCAATTTAAAATAATTTTCCGGTCCTGGTGAATGAACATCATATGTTCTCCCACCAACATACTTGACAACGTCTATCAAATTTAAATAAAATGAAAAATAAATTCCATAAAATTTTATGTATGTCAATTGGGATATTTTCAATAAATTAAATATATTTTCTACGGCTGAGCATTACTATAAAGATTTAACCAAACTTTTTAAAACCCATTTTTATAAGTTTTAGAGGCAAGGAACTTCTAAATATTTATAAATATAAATGATTTAGAAATTTTTGCCACTGAACACATGATATGCGTACATTTCGAAGGATGATATTTTCATTTAAATTTTGAAAGCTGAATACTGTCAAAGACAAATGTATGAAAAAATTGGAAACATATGACTGCATGAGACTTCCTTGCATAATTATCCTTGCACTACTAAAGAATACATATTTCTAAACAAAATAAAAGTCATTGAAAATTTGAATTCAGCGGTATTTCTGTAGGGTATCATATGGAATATATATAGTTTGTGCAGATCTACGGAATTACATTCTAATGTCGAGGTGAAGTATTTTTCATTAAATTGTGACTGTTTCTGGCGGAGGAACGACAGATGATGGACCTTGCCCTAAATCTGCCATGCAGACGAACTTTTGTAAATTGACTCCAAAATTTCTGAAACGCATTTGGCCCAAAGACAGATGAGGTTTAAAACGAATATTTTCATGAGGTGCATTTTGCCGTTATAAAGTATATAAGTTTTATTATTTTACGATAAAAAGCCGGCTTACCATGCCAAATCTGAGGTCCCCTTATGTGTTTCTTCCTTAAGGCTGAGTGGATAAATATTAGGTAAAATATAATAAAAAAATTATTACTTTTCCAACATCTTTATGCTGCAAAAGACTACAATTTTCCGCATTTGAAAAAATGCATTTACTTTTTATAAATAACGTCAAGGTCATGGCATAATTACAGAAAGTAGTCTCATTTGAGAAATTAATAATGGCAACCCTTTTTAATTTAGAACTAATAAATCAATTTCAAAATGTTTGAAAAATAAGTTCCATGAAATTTTATGCATGTCGATTGGCATATTTTTTTAAAGAATTGAAGGATATACTTTTTCTACTCTTGAATTTGTGGGCATTAATGATTGATTTTGAGTACTTTTTAGGGGAAATTTTGGGCGGAAAAAAAACTTTCTTAAACGGCAACACTGACTACAACAGCTGTTTGTTGTGATCAATTGTTAATACAGCTACCTTATTAAATCTGCCTTTACAGGTGGTTTAGTTACAAACTCAATATCTTGTAATGTAAAATATAAATATAGTGACTATGTCTATTTATGTTATATGTTTAACGACAAATGGTGGATTGCCGATATTGACTCGTAAAAAGGGGGACTGTGAAAATGTAATTAAATGCATAATATCTATGAGTTTGTATTTTGTTTGTATGCATTTATAATTTATAGCTGCCATTCTCGACGATGGCTTCCTTAAATGGATTTCACATGTTCTTCAAGTCACTGGGTATTAATTTGCACAAGACGTACGCCGAGAACTGGAAGTATTTGTGGAAGGACTTTAACAATTCTATTACAATAATAATTTGCTCCGTAGGAATTGATGACTATGTCCTCGACCTTTTGCCTGAAATGGTATATGGATCGTTCAGTTTATTTATCAGTCAGGATGAAATGGCTTATCCTTCATTTACCGAGCGCTTGAAAAAGGAATCTAAGAACTACATTCCCATATTAGATGCTATATTGGAAGCCAGCATAAGTCAATTCCTTGGGTTTTCCAGCTGCCTCCTTTCGACTGATAACACACATGTTTTGCAGCGTTTGAACAGCGACATCAGCTCTCAATGTGGTTCTTTATTTTGCTGCTTGCTTGTGGGTCAACGAATTGCTGCGGCTACAGACGGTTGGTGGGATTTAAATATCGTGGATAGGCAATTATTAATGTTCCTCTTGCAAACATCCTGTTCATTGCAAAATGATGTTGCAGTGTATTTGCCGAAGAAAAGTCCAAACGTAAGATATATACATACATATTCATAAAAAATATATTTTATTTTTTCTATGATGAGGCTAAAAAGGTTTCATAGCTCACTTGGTGGCACCGTTTGACCTATATAGGGTAAGTGCACCAATAGTCGGCACTTTAAGAATTTTCGCTTTTTAAACGTTTCACTATTCCAAGTGCATTCCAATTCTCGGCATGTCTAAATAAGGCATTTCAGAGGTTAAACATTTTATGATTCAACAATGTCTTCACCCATATGCCGACTATTGGATCACCTTAAAAATTTTTGTTCCTTAGGTCGAATCGATAAAAATATAATAATTACAAATATTTTTTAATAATTTTAAATTCCAAAGTTCTTTACAATTACGAAGAAGATCCTTGTAAAAATATATTATAAGTACAAGTCTTTTGAAATTGACATGTCCACTAATTTTTTCTTAAGAAGCATGCATTATCGCTAGTATTGAGGAAACTCATTGACAAAATGCCAAGTTCTGACTAAACAAATGTACTTGGCTCGAATAAATTTTATACAGATATAGGTTGCAGTGTTATTGAAGATTATTCAAAGCATTTTTTATTTTTAGTCATAGGATTTTTTAGTAATTTGAAGTTATATAAAACAGACGCCGACTATTGGTACATGCCGGAATTAGGTGCGTTTACCCTATGTTGAGACAGGGTGCTAATCTCGTATTTATTTATTTATTTATTTAAACTCTTACATGTACACAAAGCCTTATTTGGCCAATTATTATGAATACATTATGCAAAATCGTTGATATATGGCACTACTCTAATGTGGGAAATTCGGAAGTCTATATCTCAGGAAGTTGGACTTCTTTCATAAAAATCATATATTTTCGTCATCAGAGGGCAAGACTAAACTTTTTTAATAGTTTCGAAAAATGGAATTTTAATAAATGTTTTAGGTTTATTAGTGGATATCAGTGTTGTAAAATAAACAATATGGTATCGTATCATAGTTTTCTATACGGTACCAAGTATGGACTTTGGTTTAAAATGAGTCCATAAGTGACGAATTTGTGAGCAGAGGAACTTAGGAATTTCAGAGGTTCATATCTCACGAAGTATGGACTTACCACATGAAAGTCATATATTTTCATGATCAGGGAGACGAGGATAGACGGCATCTGACCTCGCAGTTGACGGCCGCACGGCCATCAGGCAGACCTTATTCCTAAATGCCACATCTCCTTCATTGTGGATGTATCTTTTTTTCATGTAGTGGACTATGGGCAACTACGGTATTGATTTGCGGCTCAATTGTTATCTTGCCTGATATAACACTTAAACATCTGATGTTGTGTAAAATTTTAATTTTTTCTCCATAATAAATCAATTCACTTTATTTTCGTATATGAGAATTTAGTCATAGGGTCGAGGAGTAGGATATTGTAACCCCTCTTAAAACTTTAATTCAATCTACAGACATAATTAGCGTATAATTATATCACAAACAATATTAAAATTAATTGTTAACATCCCAAATGGCAAAGAATATTGCATTCTTTCAATGTCCATTCTCTAAGTTATACAACAATATTTGAATTTATCAAACAAATCATTTAACATTTTTATACCCTTCACCACACTGTGGTACAGGGTATTATGTCTTTGTGCATATGTTTGTAACAGGCAAAAGGAAACGAGATAGACCCATGGTTCCTTTTGAGAATATGCATAGAATCACTTTTTAAGTCGATTTATGCATGTCCGTCCGTCTGTCCATGTATTTTTGTGAGCAAAGTACAGGTCGCATTTATGATCCGAATTGGATGAAATTTGGCACAGCTCATTTGTTTGGCCCAAGGACGAACCCTATTGAAATTGGGAAAAATCGGTCCAGATTAAGATATAGCTCCCATATATAGTTTCGTCCGATTTCATGTAAATGGTGCTCCAAAATCCCTATATATCTTTCGATTTGCACGAAATTTGGCACAGCGTACTGAATTGGGCCTAGAATGATGTGTGCCAAGTTTCGAGAAAATCGGTCCAGATTAAGATATAGCTCCCATAAATAGTTTCGTCAGATTTCATGTACATGGTGCACCAAAATCCCTATATATCTTTCGATTTGCACGAAATTTGGCACAGCGTACTGAATTGAGCCTAGAATGATGTGTGCCAAGTTTCGAGAAAATCGGTTCAGATTTAGATATATATATTTTCGTCCGATTTAATCTAAATAATGTACCAAGTTCTTATGTTGCATAGCGTTTTGAAATTAATCCAGAATGATGTGTGCCAAGTTTCGTGAAAATCGGTCAAGACTTAGATATAGCTCCCATATATATTTTCGTCCGATTTAAAGTAAATGGTGCACCACATGTTTCTTTCGATTTGCACAAAATTTGACATAGCGTTCTGAATTGATGCTGGAATGACGAGTGCTGAGTTTCGTGAAAATCGATTCAGATTTAGATATATATATATATATATATATTCGTCCGATTTAATCTAAATAATGTACCAAGTTCTTATGTTGCATAGCGCTTTGAATTTAATCCAGAATGATGTGTGCCAAGTTTAGTGAAAATCGGTTGAGATTTAGATATAGCTCCCTTATATTATATATTGATTTTGAGTAATTGACGCACCAAGGAACCAATATATGGCTGATAGGAATAAAACGTACTGAAATTAGTTAAACCTAACCTGTGACAAGTTTCGTTGAAATCTGTTCATATTTGGATATAGCATCCATATATACGTAAATTGTGCATCAAACTCCTCATATTTGTTAGATTGACATCAAATTTTGCACAACGTACAAAATTGAATATAGAATAACGTAGTTGGGTTTTACAGACCTAGCCCAACGGATGACCTATTGATATTTGTTTGAAGTCGATTTACATATTTTGTTCCATTGTAACAAACGAATGATATGTTTATGGATAGATCTATGTCGTTTCACATTTAGATAAATATAACATATTTTATTTCATACAATTTCATGATAATAGTCCTGTTTAATATACCCATAGTGGTGAAGGGTATCATATAGTCGGCCCCGTCCGACTTTACTACTTTCCTTACTGGTTATATTTATTTTTTATTCATTATACAAAAGACTTCTTGGTCCATTTTATGTTTATAAAAAATATTTTTTATTTTTGTGAACAAAGTGCACACCGACGTAGCCAGTGGGGGAACGAAGGAAAGATGGGACTCTCCCCTACAAAGGGTCAATATTTCGAAAACTTGTAAATCTCATATGAAGCGAACGCAATAGCCAATTTCATCCAAACTTTGCACAACGCCATATTTTTACCAATCCTATCGGTCCTCTTCTTCTGGTACCTCTCACACAAAGTGTTAAAATTATGTATTTGCAGATATTTCTACTTTCAAAGTTCTTTTGACCGCAGTTTTATTGGGCGGATTTGAACACGGCTGGTCTCAGTAGACACAGCACGTAAAAAAACTAAAATCACGCGAGGTTCAACCCAATAAATAGGTTTTTTATAAAAATGTTCTTGAGATATACATCAATCGAAGTGAAATCACGAGTCCTACGAACGTATAATAAGTTTAGGGCTTCAACTAGCTCGTCCGAAAACAGGGAAATTTCGGCTTCAAAATATTTCTACTTTCAAAGTTCTTTTGACCGCAGTTTTATTGGGCGGATTTGAACACGGCTGGTCTCAGTAGACACAGCACGTAAAAAAACTAAAATCACGCGAGGTTCAACCCAATAAATAGGTTTTTTATAAAAATGTTCTTGAGATATACATCAATCGAAGTGAAATCACGAGTCCTACGAACGTATAATAAGTTTAGGGCTTCAACTAGTTCGTCCGAAAACAGGGAAATTTCGGCTTCAAAATGTCAGCTTAGTTGAATGCCGTGGAAATATCGAAAAATCATACATTAGAACTATATTGCCAATATGGTGTTCTTAAATTCAGTCGTTGAGCACAAGTCTGTAAATGGTGTATTTTAGTCATAAAGTAGCAAAAGACAAAAAAATTGTTGGCTTCAGTGTAAAATTGTAAGACGATCTAGCCATGTCCATCAGTCTGTTGTAATCACTGTAGCATCTGCAGAAACTGATCTAGCTGTCCAAACATTTGCACAGAAGTGCCAGAGCTATATCAGTCTACGTGTAGGCATATCCCTCATATAACGGTACCTCCAAATTTTCTATATTTTGAACACGTTTTGAGCCGAATTGGCTTTTATTTGATATTTTGGGTTCTCATTAGGTATTGCATAAAAAAAATTTCAGTATGTTGGAAATTATGGACAAGTCTTTTAACCAATTTTGCTGTATTTTTTTTTTTTTTGGATTTTAATGGGTGGAGAATGGTCAATATTGGTCCACTCAGGGTTATTGGACATTTTTTAACACGTTAATAAAGCAGGGATCGTAACGGTTATAACTTATATCAAATCAGGTAAAAAATAACTTTTATTATGTGACTTAAATTAAAAAAATCCACTTTAATTATTTATTTTTTAACGGAAAAAATAAACGTTGATTTATAACTGTTAAAATTGATTTTTATTTTTTCCGTCAGAAATAAAAATCTTTTTAGGATTTTTATTTTTTCCGTCAAAAATAACAGTCTTTTTGGGATTTTTATTTTTTCCGTCAAAAATAAAAGTCTTTTTGAGATTTTTATTTTTTCCGTCAGAAAATAAAAGTATTTTTACGTAAATAAACATATAGAGCTTGGTACCAGTTATATAACCTTTGACTTAATAGTCAGGGGAACGATTCTTTAATTTATATTCATGATTTGGTACAATAGACTATTTTTTAAAAATGTATAACAAATATTTTTTACCTTTGATCTTGATTACTTATATGTACACTTATTGTAATAAGGACAGAGATTTATAAATTGTAATTTTATAACTGATTACAAGTTGTATAAACTTATTTACACAAAAAGAGTTTTATTTCCTGACGGAAAAAAATAAAAATCCCAAAAAGACTTTTATTTTTGACGGAAAAAATAAAAATCATTTT